TGTTTAAGAGAATGTCCAGAAGTGTTAAGGATCCTGTAAGTAAATAGGTCACCTCTAAGACGTCTATACTTTAATGAGTAGAGATTAATTGATTAAAGGCGCTCTTCATAAGGTTATTTGGTGCATATATCCGTCATTTTCTTGGGAAACCTACAGGCTCGGGTCCTCCCACAACTTATTCTAGCCACCATGAGTTGCCACGAAAACTGATGGATGGACACGCGTTACACATCCTAACCGTCCCTGCGTCTAATCTCATAGCTTCTTATTCAAATGTCATATGATAAGCAAGTAATGTTTCTACCGACACTAATGGAAGACGAGTAATTCAAAGGCACCCTGTATGGTACTTTAGATTGGTCTACGCACTCGGCTTTTTATTGAGAATATTACTACAGTCCTGCTAAAAATCCCATGAACCCACCTATCACCATCAAAACAATAAGTCTGTATTTGCTGCATATAGCAATTTTATTTTTCAGAAGATATATAACAGTTAGAATTGGAGTAAAATAGCAATATACAGCAGATGCACGTGGTACATGTCTTCATCGATCAACTGAAATAGAGAATACGGATATTAGTTTAACATGCTTATCTAGAAAGACTAGTGTTTACTTTGAACTTACTGAGTGAGAAAGTTATACTGGAACTGTGAATAAGGTAGGAATCTAGTCTCCCAGGGCGTACGAAGCACTCAAACTGGAAGACAGTTGTCCTAAAATAATTCGAATATGAAGGTGAGAATTTGCAGGTACTTTTCATCGTAAGGGTGAACATATTCGATAACGGTTGACATGACACCGTAAAAAAACACAAATCTGCGAGTGGTGAATTATGGTCTATAAAAAGGTGAGCTTAATAACAGTTAGTTACCTTTTTACTTTCTGATCATGACCCTTCGGCTTCCTTTTGTGGCCAAAACACCAAACATACACTACACACTGATAGCAGATTTCCGGCTTTTCAATGTTAAGCTTGCTTTAACGCACTACGTAATGCGTATAACCCCTCCATTACTGCTATGTGGCATATTTTTTCATAACAAACCCTCTGCAATAGATTGGTAGCATCTGTGACTTCGTCTATGGTTGTCGGAAGCCTGGGTACTTTCGAAAATAATACTGACATCCCATACTGCTAGGCACTAAGTATTGGTTTGACTCGTTGTGGGATATTTTTGTCCGCAATACTGAAGAAAATTAAAAACCCTAAATTGGTTCCTTTCATTTTGCCGATAACATCATAAAGTACGGTTAGGAATGAACATGCGGACAGTTAGTCACAGGAGGCAGCAACAGTTATTTCAGCTAAGAAAAAACGAACTTCGGCTTTGGATATTTAGAAAACAAGTCAAAACCAAACCGATTTCCATTTTAAAACATAAGACTAACCAGCTTGACTGAATTACATTGACTAGAGTAGAAGCAGTAAAAACCCAAAAAACAATGCTGATTCGAAGTAAATTTCACACCAACATGTGGAACATTACACTAACTGCGGCATCTTAGCACATTGAAACATTAATTACATAGCTACACAAAAGAAATAGCTAAAAGAAGCACAGAACGAAGAAAGCCGGCCGCCATTACGTACAAGGATGGCTGACATAATAATTCCCGCCACATTCTGATTGGTTGCTAAGCTGAAGAGCACATTTACGAAATTGAGTTGCGTTTAATTGCAGCCCCACTTCCAATGTCACGCCGTTATAGCAACCTGACAATGCCAACGTTAGTCTGAAATACTCTTTGAGTTAGATTGAATCAGCGAATAAAATGGTTGAATGATTTAGGCAACTGCTGAACCTTTCCAAATTGTAACTGTTTACTGAAACTATGTCTTGTTTAGCTGGTTAGTGGTAGGCACCGCGCAACTTAAAGAACCAAGTGGTCATGGTATGTTTCCAGTCTTAAGCTAATAGTATGTCTTTAGGGTCGAGTTCGAACAAAAACAGTGAAGAAAGCCTCAAGGTTTATAATCGAGAGGTTTTACTCCAAGCTGACAAGAGACTTTCATACAAACAAATTCGTTTGCCAAGACATCGCATGCATAGGGTCAAAAAGATTGCGAAACATGATCGCAGGTTATGTGACTCATTTAATGAAGCGTTTCGAAGCGGGACCTGTACGTGGTATTAGTATTAAGCTTCAGGAAGAAGAAAGGGAACGAAGAGACAACTACCAGCCGGAGGTCTCAATATTTGATACTATGGCCATTGAAATCGACCCCGTGGCACAGGAAATGTTGCAAAGCATGGTATGTACTTTGGTTGTATTAACGATCTTTCTTTCAGAACGTTGCACATGCGAAAAACATGCGTTCATTTTTACCCGCTGTAAAGTAAATTTATATCCAAATAAACTGGTTTGCAAACAATGTGGTCTTTTCAGTGGCTTAACATTCTTAAGTAATAAGTACTGCTTAATCTCGTTCATTCATATCCAGTTTTCATACAAATAATTGCTATCCACTGCTGGTCTTGGGCCATGTTGTTGGTCGAAAGCTTTGCTCATAAATCCATTGATCGTCTTCGGATGACGCATTTAAATTATTTCATGACAGGATTTACTAATTCTTGTAACCTTTTGTATAGGTCACCGGCCAGTTGTCTGCAGTCTACTCTGTTCTAGGCTCTACATTCCAGTTTTTGTCGAGTGATATTCCTTCTTTTGGAAGTTATTTCTGATTCCCTATGCATCGCCTTCGGTCTGTATCTACTTTGCCTTCAGGATTTGATGTTGAGGCTTGCCTAGTAATCCGGTTATGTGGTTTTTGTTAAGTGTAACCTACGCAACTCCACCCAAGTTCCTCGGCTGGAATCTGTTTCGTTCTCTGATACAGTAGGTTATTGTTGCTGGTGTCTGGTCAATAGATCCGTAGTATCTCACGTAGACAAGTGTTTATAAATGCATTTACCGTCTTGAATATGGTTGTATTAGTTCTCAGCTTCATATAGCGAGACTGCTTCGACGTTTGTATAAAAAATTCTGACGTGTTGGCTGACAGTTGTTGAATTGTACAGATAGTGCTCTCACTTCCCCGATCCATGCCTTTATATTCGGGTCTGGCATCTTTGTTTATCGGCGATACTGCCAGAGTAGGTGAAAGTTTTCACTTATTCTGTGGCTTCTTAACCAAGTAATTTGTCTGGTTCTCTCTGTGTTGTAATTTAGCGTCCTAATTTTCCCTTTCTGAGTGTTAAGGTCCACTTCTACTATACTACCCCCATTGCTTGCTGTGTATGGGGTAGATGGTTCAAACCATCTGCGAAGTTCAAACCTAAGTATGTGCTGTGGTACGTTCTGACGCCAATTCGAGCTCTGACGGTTTCGGATTCGTTTCTTATGACCTAAATCTCAAGTTTGACACGTTGAGTTTTCATCAATCGATTGGGTTCTTGCCCTGCGAGCAGTACTTCTCATTTTAACATGTATGATAACAATGACCATGTTCCAGTTTTAACGTAAACGGACTATCCCTTTTTTATTCTTAGATTTCTATTTGTATATAGAAGTCGGCACTAAAAAACTGCTTCCGGACTACTGATAGTCTGAACGTTCAGCTGTTAAATACTGTTTGAAGACTTGTATATCATAGTTGGTATCGTCGTTCTGTTTAGTCCATTGAGTACATTTGCAAGTCGCCACGTGTCGTAGTCGACTGAGTCACCGTTTTCAATTACACTAAATGATTGCCCAAAACTTGTGGGCTTGATTATACTTAAATCATTAAGCCGTCACTGTGTTCAGACACGATTATATTTCAGGGCACGTTAAGCATGATGTGAAAGCTCTTAGGTTTTCTACCTAGGACTTTGGCCCGTCGCACATCATGATTAAAATAATTTGTCCACATACGTAGGCTACATATGGCAATATTTCGAGGTGACTTTTAGGTTTTCTATGTTCCAATCCTCTAGAGTCGGTTATAGTTACCTTAATACTTCAGTTATGTCGTCCTTGAATTGTTCGGGCTGTTACTGTAAGCTGTCGATTCGTCTGTCATCTTCATTCTTTAAGGTACTGAATGGATGAATTCGAAAGCTCTGTTCTAATTCTTGGTTTTGTTTGATGTATTCATTTCGGAAGGGTCACTGTATATTAGGCCGTTTGTGTTAGCATAAATTCAGTGGTTTCCTTGGCAAATTTTTGGAGAAAATGTGTTAGTGAGTACTAGATATCACGACAAAGTTAAGGAGTATGAGTTTTAAAAAGATAATAACAGACCATTCCTATGTTCAAGTACTTGACGTTTATATACTTGTGGTAGCTTATTCTGTGTGTTCAACGGAATGGGTTTTTTGACTAAGGCATTTAGATACTATGGAGACTACTATGTGCTGAGTGCTGCGAATACCAGGTATATAAATAAACCTAAGTCTAACGTATGACCTTATAGGGACCACGTATAAGTAGCCCGTATCACGGTTCGGAGGTTTTATAACAACTATCTTACAGCCCTCTTATTAACTTACTTAACAGACGATGTAATTTGAACAGTAACAATTCACGTATTGCTTTGTACCGTTATGGTCACACGACACTTACTAAAATGTTGGTTGCTTAAATGTCACTCGATGACTGATCCTTCTCCCCATGTATGTATGTACTCAAATAATATTATTAGCTTTTGCTTAACCCGTATGCAATTTGACTGCAAATTTACCTATGTAATTGCTCGCATATACTTATTCGCCTCAGCTTCAGATTCACTCGATGTGCTTATATCTTTGTGATCTGCCCTATCCGCAAATAAACTGCATTTGGCGCTTCTCTTTTCCTTCTGATTTCAAACACCATCCAGGTTTATATTATAAAGATTATCGAGGTGTTCGATCAACGAAGCAAAGCCATTACCGTCTTACAAACTCGAATTATCATAAACGAGCACTTGGCATATTTCATTTCTCCAATCTTGTGCTATTACAAGTTTCGAAGTTTTAACCGACACATGCCTAAATTTTGTTCTCGATGACGTGGGGAATAAGACACTAAGATCTAAGAAATATTTATGACGTTATTAGAAATAAAAGTCAGTGAGGTTTATGACAAATAACCATAACAATATGATTTACTGGTTTGTCACTTCAGATTTACTCATAAAGTTTGTTGCTTTGGCTGGATTGTTAGTACGTCATCGTTAAGTAGTGTTTCTAAAAAAACGATAGAGAATAAACAATTTAGTTTTGTTTACATGAGGATTTATGGGATGTAGATTCTAAAAAAGAATAAGATCATGCATAACTGTCCACAAATTTCGACTAGTTGCACATACCCTTATATTCATCTTAGCACTGAGTAATCGCAATCGGATTTTAGCATTTAATTGCTACCAAACTCGTCCAATCCAACCAGTTTTAAGGTCTGGAAAATATGTTGCTGATACTCAAGTTACGGATAAATAAGTGAGAGTCTGGTAAACCTATTACCTCGTCTTGATCTTTGAAGCATCCTGTATTTAATTTGTCCCCACTTGATACCTTGCCATTTTGTGTCACATCTCTTCTGACAAGTTGGTTTGATACCATGTCTTATGAGGTCAAATATGACCCTGTCTTTAATGTTTGCTGTGAAGTGATGAATACTAAAAGGAAGCAATCCTGTATTCGCAATGACTCAAAAGTTCATGAATTTATACACGATCATTGCGTAATTAGTGCCAGATATATTTCATGGACGCAGGAAATAAACACCTGAACATAGTAATCACCACTTACCAATAACAGTACTTCCACTCTTCAATAAAACAGTGGGATTATTTAACTCATCTGGAATAAGATACTCTCTTTCTATCACCGTTTCAAGCCATATAATAATACCTTTCTTAGAGAAATTCTAAACAACTTATTAGAACTTTGTCATGTATTATTGATCTCAGATTATCCCACCGAAAAATGCTTCTGCTGTTCATTCGTATCGATCTTTGTTTTTCAGAATGTTCGTTTCTAATAACGTTTATTTTTCTGAGATTTTACTAATAGGTTTAGTTTAATCATTTTTATGCGGTTTTTAGTTTAAAATGATCACAGCTTCAAAACAGTCAGATGGTAATTGCTGAGTATCATTTAGAATTTGGCGTTACATGTTGTTTATATAAGGGATACTTTTGTAGCTATTCGGCAGTACAAACCACTTGACTGGTTTCATTTATCCGCGAAAATCATGTAGTTTTTCCCTTCAGGAGCATAGATTAAACAGGGGTAGAATCATTACAGTTATGTTTTCTCATACTCAGCTCTATGATCGCTTATCTCTTGGGAGTTAAATAGATCCATATATTTTGTGCTTTTTCACTTAAAATATCAAGTCGCATGTTTCAAGCTAAAAGGTTTTTATTATGACTATCCAATTTGCCTCAACAAAATAGGTTACGATGAGTAGGGCAAGAGGCTATTGGGAACTTCAATTTGGAGTTAATTGATATGATGAACTGAAATGAGTTAGGGAACTAACAATTTGTGATTCCATAGCAGTGCATACCTATAGTGATGCAAGTGGTCACACAGCACCTTTAGGTCTTGGGTTGATCACAACTCAACCGTAATCTGATGATTCAGGTTTCGTTAATTTGTGATCGAACACAACTATAGACAATATTTATCTTACCCCAAACGACACTGAATTGTGTTTGAATTATAACTTAAACAGCTAGCTTACTGCTAGCGTAACTAATCCATCAAGTGTAAATTTATTTAGTCCGGTTCAAGTTTAATCTTATTTAGCCACCAAATGACTGTTCGTATCTATTCTGAGTTCTAGTTCACTGTTCTGATTTATCTAACAACAACGCATAAGCAAATGAGTAAGAAAGTTAGTAACTTAAATGGAAAATATCCATAGTTTATATCAGTTCAGAAAATATGGCAACTCAGGTATAAGTCTTCTTACTAAACTAAGACAACTCCAGAGGAGGCCTAAATGTAGACGGAAATGTTTCGTTAAAGTAATTTGATCTACTTTAGTCAATTATTCAACTATACAAAGTCGTCGGTGCAACTGTGTGTAGAAATAATAAAAACAAGAGCACTAATTGGTAACAAAGCGAATCGTGTTTGTCCCGTTACCCGTTATTCATTTAGCGAAATATCGATTCAGGTTTATGTTTTCTGTTCCACAAAGTGAGATTAATTTGACTCCTCAGTAAGCACTTCATCACCATCATAGTATTTCAAGGAGCAAACGTCAAAAAGGATTAGTGCCTAACATTTCTCGGACTAACATGACAAACAACGCGAAAGAGACACCTACCATCAATTGTCTCACTGCATATCATAGTGCCTGCACCTTCAGCACATGGCTTCTTGTTTGATTTTGACGAATCAGAACGCTGGCATTGTGACGCTAATGACCGTGATACTTTAAATCTCCATGGTTCTTCCATTCTCTCAGTAATTTTCATATTCTTGTAGGCCAGAGCTAACAGTTGAACCTATAAAAATGATTCATATTGATGTGCAGATACGTTCTACCTTTTTTTGATTAGTAAATAGATCTGGTGTAGTCTCCATTTCTGAAGAAGTTAGGTTATCTTTAATGAACTTCGCTAGACATGATCTAGCATAGATTGGTAAGGAAAATTGATATTCTAGATCTGTGGGGTCGAAGTTTGCTACGCCTTCCTTCACTCTAAGGTTTTGTAACTGGAATATAGATATCGTACTTCTTCTTTGAAAATATTTCGTGAAGAGTGGTCAAAAGAATAATTCCTGCATTTCTTTTGTTATGGGCGGCACATTCAATAATATCTGGTGGTAAATAGATGCATAAACGTTGTAGTATCTAAGGTGACTAAAAAACTATTTAGTTAAAAACCTCTTGAATCATGTTCCAGTTATGTAGCTTGACTTTTATACTCTGTCCATCAATAAATTTCCCAAGATTCACCGCTTTCGGTTGGTAATTGTGCAAAATTTCAGCCACTAGAATACCATTGGAAACACACCTATTCGTCAGTTTATGGTAAATGCATTTGATGCTAACCATTTTAGGTTTCTGTGTTCCAGATTAATATCTAATGTTAGTAACCAACGTAGCACTTCACGTGGTATTTCCGCCATAGGGTTGTTATAGTAGCAACTTTGTAGGACATCTTTAATTTGTGTAGGAAAAAAGCCTATATTATCTCTCTTTCTTAACAGAGGGCAATTAGATTACTTATTTAAGATGACTTAGGCAGTCTGAGTAATTCAAGATACGTACAGCATCGGGCGATTCATCTGGTATTATCAGCAATAATCCCTTCAGATCATTGTGTTTACATATTTCACCTTTGTTTTCAAATCCAATTAGTGTTTCTCCATACACTTCAACTTGCACCGTCATCAAAACCTAACGCTTCACAACTCCAAACTCGTTGACCTCTAAGTACTTTCGATGAAGAGATCTTTAACTAATCGGTGAACGTTGAGCCACTAAAAATTTGATGAACCTCCTAAACCAGGTTACAGAACCAAATAATTTCATCCTCTCAGAATATTGATAAAGAATAGGGGAACTGCTATATTTAGTGCTACTCAAGTTAAGCACATCAGTTGGCTTTCTAAACTCAGTGTTTTTCATTAGGTTACGGACAGTCAGTTATCATCTCAGGAAAATCCTCATGCACCAAGGCGGGATACTTAAACCAAGATTTGAGACCGATCTTTTTCTGAATACCTCTTGAGGTTTGTCACGATCTTATGTAACTCCATTGCCCAACCTTCATGTACTGATGCACAATATTGTTGCGACTGACTTCATAGGTACTGAACCAACTATCAGTATCCCTAATGTAATACAACACCATTGTGACAGAAAAAGAACGATTAAAATCTCTTCGTAGCTTTTTTGTTGGATAGTTTTGTCATTTGTTTGTTTCATCTCCCGGTTATGTAATTTAACCTTTGTTCAGATTTAGTTTAACCACACCTTTTTTTCTTTAGTCTTCCCCATCTGAGCCTTCATAATGTGATCTTGATTAAAGACTTATCTTTCTTTACCTAATTTTCTACTGCATGTTGTCGGACTATTGACAGTAAGGTCGTGTTCTACTAAGCTCAAGGTTACGGCGTGGTTCAGTGTGTAACTATTATTATTTTGTTTGTCTGCTTGAGACGATTGCTGGAATCCCTGCCGATAGATATTTGATTCCATCTTGTTGGGAATATTTTTACTGATTCTCAGGTATCGATCCCTTTGATATTGACTGTTTCTTTTATTGTTTGGCGCGGTACTTTGCATTAGAGAAACCTTTAACTGTATAGCACAGGCTGTACCGTTTGAAGTACTTTGTATTTTTGATATAATTTGTTCTATTTCCTAAAGTAGAACCGTTCAAATTAAGAACAGAATTTGTGTTTTGATATAATTTAATATTTCAAAAACGCATCGTAAGCTATTGTAGCGGTAAATAAATCCCCAAACTAAATAGCTCTGTAGGTTTTCGACATTGGATGCTGACCATATGTTTTAGTGGACTCGTCTAGCTGAAGGCGCTCGGTCATACATCCGCACCAGATCACGTGCTGTAACGCTGTGCTCAACATCAACCGCAATCACTAGCCAGATTAGATCAGAGATTTCCGATATATTGGTTATCGCCAAATACACTCTTCCGATCTCCTCGACTCTGTCTTTTGATTTCTCTCGGTGGGAACAAAGCACATTAGAAGGTGTTACTGGTAGAAGCGTTGTCAAACACTGAATACCTGTATCATCCTCACTATTCAAAAGAACATAATCTGGCGTATTCGAACAAATTTTGGCTCGTCAGCACTGAGTTCAAACCGAATACTGGCAGTTCGGTCGTTACAACTATTATTAAATGTGCATAAAAATTCACTTCAAGGAAAAAACAAGGAATACACTTCTTTAAGACCTCACTGGTCCTTACAATTAACACGGCTGCCGTAATCTCCAGTCTCGGTACAGTAACCTGTTTGATCGGTGCTTCCAGAGACGTGTTACAAAACAAAATACGGTATATTGATTGCTTCGGATAAATATTATGTGCCAATATCTGATACATCGCTGAGTAAATGTATCTCTACCTTCGCGCTAAGTCCATCAGTCCTCTTCCAAATCCCTTGAGACACCGCAACATGGTTTATCTAACATATGAAATTCAGCCATTTCAGCCAGATTGACAAATACGGCTTGCTGAGCACCTGATCCCAGTATATGTGGGCCTTAAAAATCTTTCTTAGGTGAAGTTTAGCAGCTAAGGTGAGTTAGACAGAGAAGAACCGAATGATAAAATCCCTCATCTAGTCAAAGGCTTCTCCGGTATATAAAATAGTAAAACTTAGAAACATCTTAATCCTAAACATACTTTTGTGGTATTCCAATGAGTAGAAATTGTATTTCCGACGCTTCATTCTCTAGCAAACTATTGATGAAGCCTGGTCATGTATCTTATGCTAGTGTATTACGTATTACATTATAGCTTAGAGTTAATTCATTCTTCGTGGTGGGTAATCACGAGATCATTGATATAACTTCACATGAATCCTTTACGGTACTAATTAGGTTGTTCTGAAGTGACTTCAGTATACTCCCTAAATATTTAGATTGTGCATATATGGGAACATTTGTGAAATCCACTATGGGTTTTAAAGGAATGCCAGGCTTGTGAATTTTAAGAGGCCCAAAGAAACGTGATATAATGTTAGATCCAGGGTACAAGGCAAACCATAAGGAAACGTGAATGAAAGGCTTTAGTTATTTCGGTGGTGCACTTGTATTTGATTTAACTTTATTATCGACAACTTGAAGGTTTTTGGAGTCCATCTTCAAATTTTCCACTCATTGTGATATTACATAAATAAATTTGCCATTAATTTTCTACCCAATGCCCAGTTTGTTTGGAACTATGAAGTTAAACTTTGCCATTGACTCCTCAACTACATCTTGTCTGAAATCTTATTCTGAGCCTAAGGTTCAGTTATAACTCTTTATTATGTTTATCAAAGACATGCACATCAGGCAAGAAGACCTTTTCTTCTTCCGTGTTCACTAGCCATTTGTTAGTTTTGAAGCCTCCTCCAAATAACAGTTCATTTATTACCATAACAATTTTCTCTGCCTGTTTACGAGTGGAAAAAGATATCAAGAAGTCATATTCATAGGAATTATTCTTGTCAGCATCTACGACTAAACAACCATAAACAGAACAGAATTTTCGGGCTGTCTTATTGGTAGCAATGTTTGCACAAAACAGCGGTTACGTTTTCCCATGGATTTAAAACCATCATCAAGAATGTTTAACAGGAGCAGCGGTTGGAGCACCAAAAAATACATAGATGGCATTAAAATGAACAAAACACATTTCAACTAGCCGTCGAAAAAATACAGACAGTGAGAAACGATCAAAAAGCTAATTTTGGACGGCAGCATTAGAAATCTAAAGAATAACTTGCACTAACGATTAAAATGTAATTTTTAAAAAACGTGGAAACTAAACCTAGCAAAAAGTAATGAAGAATACAACTCACTCTTAAAAAGCAGTTCACAAACATCGTAAACTGCGTCATGGGTACAAACTATTCACATTGAAACACCAAAAACTACAACTGAACCATAAACTAAATAAAACAAATTTAGAACGAAATATGGAATCCATAATGACTGGCGGGGGTGATGTGTAATATACAACATGATCAACTATCTTAAATTACCGCTTAATCAGCATTCAGCTAACTGCAATCCTCCTATTCAACTGTCCTGATCCGACCAATCAGTAATTATAAGTCAAAGGTTGTCTATCTCTTTTCATTACTAATGTCACATTACACTCCTCTACTGTAAGAGTTTTCTTCAGTCGATTTTATTGAATACCAGTTGATGTAACAATAGTTCTGTTGTAATTCGCTATATAGTGTGACTCGGTGACACGTGTTCATGAATGATGTGTTCTAACTAGCACGAAACTTTAGTCATCGTTTAATTTTGAATACTTCAAACAATGTGACTCATTTGATATGACTCTTTATAACAGGAAATCTTTGAGAACTATTATTTATAATTCATCTAAATTTATCAATTTAACTTGAATCTGTCTCAATTCAGTAGAATTGAAGTTGGAAATTTTTGAGATTTCTTCCATTACTGTTAAAAGTAAATGAAATTTACTTATATATAGTTAGATGACCCAATTACTTAAATCTAATGATCTGAAAAATTGTGTATCTTCGTGACAAATTTATTCGAATACATCACTATTGTGATGAGACTTAAATAAGCTCAACGATAGTTTGATTGTACAGTCACTTTATTCCAGAATATGTAGTAATTGTTTTTAGTTATATCATTCAAAGTATATTTCTCTAGTTGGAGAATTATTTTACGTTCATAGCATTAGTTGAATGGTTTTCGTTTAATGTATCAATTGGTTAAACTGTGGTTTGTTGGTTAAATGAACTAATAAGCTGTGAAAAATGTCGTTGCGGACAGCGAAGCTAATTTTGGAGTCATTCGATAGATATATATTTCAATTGATCTAAGTGGACACAATGAAATCTGAGATGATGGACTGATATTTACAAAAGGAACTATCAAGTTTGAGACAATTGATTGATATTTTGCTAAGAGTATACTGTATTGTTCTCTTAGTAAGATGTTCTGTACATTCGATTTTACCCACTAGTGTTTTTGTTCACTACAATACTAAGACTATGTACAACTATGATTTCTCATCAAAAAAGGAACTTTAAAGCTTTAATAAGGTGTTTCTAGGTCACTGAGTTATGTAATCAAATATTGGGACTTCGAGAGAGTTTTCAACAGGATTTTTTCAATCCAAGGTGTGACAGACATTTTAAAATTCATTTCATCACTAGTCATCTAATTTGTCGATCGACAATTGGAAAGTTTATGAAACTACTTCCAATCGATGTTTTCACTAACAGTCTATCGATAACTACCATATGTAGTTGCTTAGTTTGTGTATTTATCGAACGGGCTATCATCTGATGCTTGAGAGATGTAAAATTTAAAATAAAGGTTCATTTTCTAACAAATCTAATTAAAATACAAAATTTCGAGATGAAAGTCACTATGAACTTTAGAATCAATTAAGTTT